CATTTGAGACGAGGTAGCTTTTTCTGCAAACTGGAAGAAGTCTCCCTCGCCGCGCGGCTGCATGTAGGCGGGACGCTCCGGTTAGACATGGCAGGCAGGAGAAGCAGAGTGACAAGTCTGAGGGAACCGGGAAAACCCAAAGGCAAGACAAGGTTTAGAGTTAAATCAGGATTGGATTTTGTCATGAAAGGCAGAACTGGCAAAAGCATCATTACAAGGCATTAACCTTGTTACACACAGAGGAACAAGCAGAGGCTGGGATTCAGAAATAAATTACACATAATAAACTAGTCAGAATAGGCCGGGAGCAACATTAGTGATTACGCTCCAAGCGGGGAGGGGGGCAAGAGAGAAAATGGGTCAAAAGAAGAGTCAGAATAGTCCCTGGACGCTGGGGCCCACTGTACTCCCCCCACCCCCTTTCTGCTCAGCTCCCTAGGTATTCACTTCACTTTTGTGCGGAGGTCTCTCTGGGGCCTTTCTTTTGTTTCCAGTTGCTGAAATGAGCGTAAGAGAGCCATTCATAGGGCTCCTTTTTCCATTCATGGGGACCTGTTCATTTCTGTGTGTTTCCAGCACAAAAGAATCCATTTCCATTCAGCCACAGCAGCCCTCACGGGAGGGCCAAGCTCAGCTTTCTTATTTCCTCCCAGGCTCCGTGTGTAATTGGCTGCACAGCCCTTACTGGCCAGCGGCCTCCAGGGAGAGAGGACGAAACTCGGCTTCCCAGCTCCCGGGCCCAGCACTGAGGGGAGCTGGACAGCAGGGCCAGGCCCCACACGCCTGGGCTCTCCCTGCACACACCGTCTCAGGGAACAGAAATCCTAATCAAGAGCAGCCTATACCATGACGGCGATCGGTAACTTAGTAAAAAGTTTAGAGGTTAGACTTCTGTGCTCAACCACATCCTGGAGTGCCGAGGCCCTTTTATCATCACCTCCACACCGGCCTCAGCTGTCCATTTTCACTTTCTACCTTGACTGTCGTGGAAACCAAATGTGCAGAGGGCTTCACACGACCAATTTCAGGGGGAGCTGGCCCGGGAAGGGGGCCACTGGCTCACCTTAAGAGCCTCCTCTTGTCAAGGAGGAAACTTACTCCCAGAAGCCCCTCAAGCGGACTTCTGATAGCTTACTGGGCAGACCTGGGCCACATGGCCACCCCCAGCTCCGAGGGGTGGAAAGCTGGTGTATGGCCCCAGGGAGTGGGGTTGCCATTTGGCTCGGCCCCCAGTCGTGGCTTTCCCAGGCTTGGGCTTATTGCTACCTAAACTAAAGTATGGCTCTGGTGGCAAAGAAATAGGTGGGAATGCTGCCACGGGGTGGCAGGAAGCCTTTGTGTTTTTAAATAAGGTAATGAGAGCAAACACGTATTGCGTGTCCCTCTGGGCCAGACACTGCCCTCAGCTTTACTGAGGCTTCCTCCTAACTCCTCAGACCTCATAACAAGCCTATGGCATAAATGCTGTTGCCACCACTTCTGTGTGTACAGGGGAAACGGAGTCACAGAGCGGTTAGATGACTTGCCCCAAGTGACTTAGCTAGAAAAGGACAGGCCAGGATTTCAACCCAGGATGCCTGCTCACTCCCCTACATGGCTCCTATTAGGTAAGACGATAAGATACTCCTAGTAGCACACAGTAAGTACATGTTACAGATAACATATCAACATATTCTTATTACTACTACCATTATTATGTCTTTTTCATAACCACCCTACTAATCAAGCTGCATTAGACTTAATCACACCCAGGAAAGCCAGCCCCCAGCAGCGTGAAATAAACTGCCCCCACCCCTGGTGGGTGAGAACCGCGCTGCAGTCCTAACTCTGGCCCCTGCTCCCAGGTGTTTTGTTCTGTGCCACCAGCTCCCCAGTTGGGTAACATGGGTTTAATGCCTACCTGTGCTATTGATTCAGATCTTCATTCTGAAAACTGCAACTTGAGGGACACTCAGAAGTCAGTTTTCACATTGTGTCCCTTCAGTTTGAGCTGTCTATCTTCTTCTTGGGTAGCTTTTCTTGTCTTTGAGAGCTGGCTTTCGTGCTGGCTGGGAGGGTTATCTAAGGCCCTTCCTTCCTTCTTACTGTCACTTAAAAGCTATGCCAAACGTTGGACACCTTCCCAGGCCTTCATTACCTTCCTTCTGCCTTCCGTTTCCCCTGTATGACTTCTGCTTCAATTGTTCCCCGGCCCCTTGCGGCCTTCTTCCCCTTCTTCCCTTCTTCCCCTTCCCCTTCCCCTTCCCCTTTCCCCTCCCCTTCCCCTTCCCCTCCCTTTCCTTCTCCTCCTCCTCCTCCTCCTCCATCCCTCTGCTCCTCTCATCCTCCTCCTCCTCCTCCTCCTCCTCCTCCTCCTCCTCCTCCTTCTCCTTCTCCTCCTCCTCCTCTTCTTCTTTCTTCTTTCTTCTTTTGGAGCCAATATTTCACAGACAGAATATCTTATCCCACCTCAGCAAAGGCTGCTGCGACATGTTCTTGGCTAATCAGAATAGCTACAGTAACTAAGCACCTTCTATTCATCAGACATGGGAGTGCACTGTCCCATTTGGTCCTTCAGGATGCACCACTGCTATTCCTCTTTCTGTGTCAAGAGATGGAGAAGAAAGGAGTTCTCTAGCCAAAGGTAGTGATATTAGAGTATACCAGATGCCCAGACAGAGATGATACCCAATTCTCTGAGTTAACCTCTCAGTGCTGCTCAAATCCTCCTATTTAATAAAAGGCTAATATGCAAATTGACTGGATGGCGGAATGACCTGTTGCTATGATGTACACTGACCACCAGGGGGTAGGTGCTCAATGCAGTGGCTAGTGCTCTCCCACGGGGAGCGCCGCTCAGCCAGAAGCTGGGCTCACAGTTGGTGAGCGCAGCAGCAGTGGCGGGAGCCTCCCCTGCCTCTGTGGCAGCACTAAGGATGTCTGACTGCTGGCCACAGCCAGACATCCCCCGAGGGCTCCTGGACTGCGAGAGGGCGCATGCCGGGCTGAGGGACCATCCCCCCTTCCCGCTGCACAAATTTTGTGCACCAGGCCTCTAGTATTTAATACAAGTAATAGGCATAGGTGGCCAATGTTAAGTTTGAACAATTCTGGTTTTATTTTAAAGCAAGACATTGGCTTCTGGTTTTATTTTAAAGATATGTGGTGTGTTATGTGTGTGTGTGTGTGTGTGCTTTTTTAAATCTAAAGGTCATCTGATTTTTCTTTTTCTGCTTATAGTCACAGGATATCTTTATCTAAAAACAGTGATCTGTTGTTCTGATTCATAGATATTTTTTCTTAACTTCAATTTTAACAGGACAGGTCCTCATCTTCCCCAACTGCATGGAAAGTATCTTTTAGCAGGAAGGAAAGCTGTAATGGGCTTTCAAAAAGTCTTTCAAAACTGAGTTTACTATGGAATATTTTATGCAAATAAGTCACTTTCTCCCTAGGTTATGACATTTTTTCCCTTGAAAAGAGATCATGACAGAAACAGACCTGGAGACAGAGAAGCAGCGATCAGACTCAAACCTCAGAGGGAAGGTAGGGGAGGGTGGGGGTAAGAGGAAGAGATCAACCAAAGGATTTGTGTTCATGCATATAAACCTAACCAGTGGTCATGGATTGGGGGGGAGAGGGAGGGGAGAAAACATACATGGGGAGGGGTTTGGGATGGGAATAGGGGGATGAGGACAATTATGTGATACCATAATCAATAAAGAAATTAAGAAAAGAGACTATGGCATTGGCATGGGAGGAAATCCTTCCCAGTTTATCTTCTTCACAGCACAACTTCAGCAGAACGGTAGAGGCGGCTCTTTAAAAGCATCAGAGATCAACTTAGTCCATGGATCCATTCAGTGTAGATGTTAATGAAACTTGGTGGGTTTAAAAATAATGAATATTTAATAAGACATAAATAAACACTGTTGGCAACGCTATAATGAAGTTAATAAGTCTCAGCCTCCCTTGCCAACCTCCCCCTTCCAGATGGGGCGATTTGGGGGCTGCGGTGCTGCTCCCTGAAGTTTGCCAGCCCTCTCATTGGCCAAGACTTAAATGGGCCTTTGAAAACCTTAGCGCAGTTGGGAACCGAGCGCTGGCAGACAAAATGCATATCACACTGTGTTCAGCAGCTACAGGCAGCAGCGGCTCTTTCTAAATCCATATCTTCCTGAGATTTGTGTAACAAACTCCGTTCTCTGTTGGTGAAGGCAGGAAGCAACATCAAATACTTCACGTCCTTAGACAAGAAAGAAAAAGACATTTTGGTCAGCACTCTGTCTGCTCTGGGTTTAAAACGGGACTTTCTTTAATGATCAGGAGCAAACATGCAAGTCTAGGTGCTCAGACCTGAGGCTATTTAAATGCTTTCTGGTGGGAGGTATGCTCTTCGTTTCCTCATCAGGAGCATCAGCACCAGGTCCAGCCCTTCGCTCAGTTTCTCCTTGGTGCTGTGGCTCTCTCTTTCCCACAGTCCAGGACCATATCTTCCCCTCGTTACCCTCTGAATTCATTTCCCTGTCTTTGGGCTTCACATTACACCCTTCCTTCTGCCATCACACCCCATAGGAGGGATGGTCTGCCTCACATCCTGGGAAGTGGCTTGTGGAACCTTGCAGAAGCCAATGCCTCGCTAAAACAAACGGCAGCAGGATCCTGCAAACAGCCAAGTGTAAGATTGCCTCCCTCCCAATTCAGCAGTGGGCTCTCTCCTGGCAGTAAAGTGGAACTCGGCTTCCTATATCAGCTGGGGGAGTGTTAAATGGATGGCTAGCTCACTGCTGGCAATCAATACGTGTTAATACGTAGTAAACAAATGACTTTCCGTGGGCTGGGCAAGCACAGCGATTTTGCAGATGAAAAGGATAAAAGGTTGTTCCTGGGATCTTGCCGAAGAGATTATATTTGGGGCTCAAGTAGGAGCCTTCCCAGGTGGGCATAAGAGACATTTAATCATCCTGAATTATGGCTGTTAAAAATTAACTTTTCCTATTTGTGCATCCCCGCATGTTCAGAAAGAAGATCAACCTGAGAAAGTGCAGCCGATCGCGCCGTCCACCATGATCCACTCGGACCTGACGTCTGTGTACGGCACCGTGGTGATGAACAGGGCCGTTCTGTTCCTGGGGACTGGAGACGGCCAGTTACTTAAGGTGGGTGTTTCGTGCCTTCTTCAGAGTCGATGTTAGTAGTGACCTGATTTTGTGCTTTTTAATTATGTTTTAATGTGTCTGAATTATGCACAGCACCATACCAACTGCTTTTATGAACTTTTCAGTGACTCCTGAAATGGCCTGGAAGAATTTTCTAGAAGTCTGTTTGTAATTCTTTCCCTAGCTATGCGACAAAGCACCAGCCACCTTGTCTCCCAGCTCCTGCCAAGACATCCCCCTTCCTTACTCACTGGTTGCCTAGGTGAGGCAGACAGGGATCTGGCCCCTACCCCACCCCTGACTCACCTCCCTGAGGCATTTAACCTTCCAGTTCTATCTCCTTTATAATGAAAATGTACAAAGTGCCAGATTTCTCACAACTTCAAGAAATAAGAGATTGGAGGGCTTGAAGAGAGGAAAGAAGCAGGTGCTCCTTCTCTCCAGAGAGATCGGAGACCTGAAATCTGTGAGACTCCCCTTGGCTTTGATCTCGGAGACTATACTTTCTCACTGCATGGATGCACCCCTCATCACGTTGAGATTTTTTTTATCCACTTGGGGGAGGGCCAGTGGGAAGGAGAAAATAAAATCAGAAATACCTAGTAATTGGCCTGAAATTATATAGCACTTACCTTCAATTTCATCAGCAAGCGAGTATGGAACACCTCCTGTGGCCTCCACCAGCACTCGTGGTTGGGAGCCACGCTGTTCCTTTAGCTCTCTGTAGCCAATTTATTGTCAGCTCAGATCCCATTCAAATGGGAGGTTAACAGATTTGTTTTCTCAGCTGATCTCCCACCGATAACTAGCTGTGTGCCTTAGGTAAACTGCCTGATCTCTCTGAGAGTCCATTTCCTCATGTGTAAATAAGATTGCACTGATGGTCGGCAAACTCATTAGTCCACAGAGCCAAATATCAACAGGACAGTGATTGAAATTTGTTTTGAGAGCCAAATTTTTTAAATTTAAACTATATAGGTAGGTACATTGTTATTAACTGAATTAGGGTACTCCTAAGCTGCCTTTGCTAAAAAACTCAAGGGGCCAAAGAGCCACATGTGGCTTGAGAGCCACAGCTTGCCGACCACTGCACTAGACAGCCTCAAAGCTCCGTCCTCTTCAGAAGGCCTCCAGTCCCACCTGCTGTGTCTTATCCCCACTCGGCCAAAGCTTTGCTCGCTCAACTGCAAATGTGCACCGTAGTCTTGTTGCCATACCTTTGCTCGCACTGGATTGCTTTCTTTTCTCTCTCTGCTTTACTGAATGCCATGTCTCTGAGCTTTGGCTTAGTTTAAGCCCCATCTCATCTCTGAGGACTTCTGTACTAAATCTGTAGTGATTAGGCTTTCCCCTCATCTCCTGAAATACTCCTATCTGTATCTTTTTTTTTTCTTTCTTTTTTTTTTGGCTCATTACAAATGTCTTGCTTTGATGCCTAACCTTTTCTCTTGTATTTGTCTGGCCTTCTCAACTTGATTTTAAGTGTCTTGAGAAGGGGGCCCTGGAGTCCCACAGCCTGATGCAGTGCCAAGTGCCTGGTAGGAATTTAATTTAATTTGTTTCCTTTGGAGGAAACCCAGTACCATATGGGAGGGAGTTTGTTTGTATATACATTCCTTTAAAGTATACATGATCCTATTTCCTGTTGTGTTAGCTTAATTTCCCCGGGAAAGGTAAACACCCATCAGTCATTTTGCACAAGTTGCTTGGTACCATGAAGTGACATCTGTAGCTACACCAACGTGGTCAGGCCAATTAGAGCCGTTAACCTGGCAGAAGAAGTTCCTGTCAATCCAAACGGGGCCTCCTCACCAATGATCTCTTCGGATTTGGGGTATTTTTGAGGAGTGTTTTGACAAGAATACTGTTTCCCCAAAGCAGTTTTCCCCAAACTGCTACATGGCAAATTGGAGGTGAAGGAACACTTGGCTCTAAGTAGTTCCCTAGGGAAGACCTGGCTAGCCCTCCTGTTTGTTCGCCCCACCAGTTCGTGTGCAGCTGGCCAGTTTTTAGAGATTTGTCGCACCAGAGGGGTGGGACCAAGCTGCAGCTACAAGCTGCTGAGCAAGAGGTGGCCCAGTGAAGTCTCCCTTCCCTGTGCATCTGGAAGGGGTAACCCTTCAAAAGCCACATCTGGGGCCTTGTTTGAATAACGAGGCAGGTTGATTTTCCATTTGTTCTGTGATTGCTAACATTTATCCAGCACTTCCTGTGTGCCAGTCACGCTACATAGTCTAGCTCCATGGTCGGCAAACTGCGGCTCTCAAGCCACATGCAGCTTTTTGGCCCCTTGAGTGTGACTCTTCCACAAAATACCAAGGCCTGGGCGAGTCTATTTTGAAGAAGTGTCATTAGAAGAAGTTTAAGTTTAAAAAATTTGGCTCTCAAAAGACATTTCAATCGTTGTACTGTTGATCTTTGGCTCTGTTGACTAATGAGTTTGCCAACCACTGGCCTAGCTAATGCAGTCCTCTCTAGAACTCTGAGAAGTAGGTATACTATTCCCATTTTACAGATGAGGGAACTGAGGTCCAGAGAAGTTGGATGCTTTGCCCACAGCCACACAGTGGCAGAGCAGAAATTGGAACCTGGAAGGACTTCAGAGGCTGCCCCTAATAGGCCCATGACTTGTCATCTCTGCTCAGGCAAGGGCAACCGCTCCCTGAGGGTTCTCTGGGGGGAGTGCGAAGCATGTTGATATTGAGATCGATGTGGGGGACCAGGGCTCCTGGGGTGGGTCCCAGGTCTTAGAGACTCAGAGAAGAACCTCAGCCTGAAAAGGCAGATCATCTGACAGGAAATACCTCACTGGCCTGACAACTTGTTGGAAATTCAGCCCTGCCCCCAGCCTCCCTCAGGAGGCGTTTATGGAGGGGGTGTGAGCTGACTTGTCTCCTTTCCCCCACAGTCTCCTTAGAACAACCCAGTAATTCCCAAGAGTCTGCCATGTGACCTGTGTGCAGGTCCTTGGATGCAGCCCCTGCCGCTGCCCAGAGTCCTGGGTCCTGGGGACGGTGTAGATGGCTTGGAAGGCACAGATAATCCCCAAATCCTTTATTCACAAACTTCAGGCTTCTTGTTCACCAGACTTGTCACCAGAACGTTAGAAAAGTCGAGCATTGATAGACACAAGTTTGGCTTCTTACGGCCCAGAGTGGCGGTGCTAATGAGCAGTGAAAAGCAAAACCTGACTCAGTTCCTAACCGGTTTGGCTCAGTTGGAGCGTTGGCCTGTGAATTGAAGAATCTCAGGTTGGATTCCGGTCAAGGGCATGTACCTTGGTTGCGGGCACATCCCCCAGTAGGGGGTGTGCAGGAGGCAGCTGATAAATGTTTCTCTCTCATCGAAGTTTCTAACTCTATCCCTCTCCATTCTTCTCTTTTAAAAAATCAATAAAATATATTTAAAATAAAATAAAATAAAAAAATAAAAATAAAGTCACAAATTTCATGCATATCCTGTTATTACTTATTTTACTACCTTGAAAACCTCAACATATTCAATTCTGCCCTTGCAATAAGGACAATTTCCTTTTTCTTTTCTTTTTAAAAGATCTTTAATTGATTTTTAGAGAGAGAGGAAGAGAGATAAACATCGGTTAACTGCCTCCTGCATGCCCCGTTATGGGAATGAGCCTGCAACCCAGGCATGTGCCCTGACAGGGAATCCAACCAGCAACACTTTGGTGGGATGATGCCCAACCAAGTGAGCCACCCTAGCCAGGGCAGGACAAGCTCCTATACGCATTAGTCAGCTCAGAGGAATCCAAACCACATGACAGGCTGAACCACAACCTAGAGGAAGATTCCGCATGTGTTTATGAAAACGGGTACACTCATCAGCGTCCTGATTGGCAATGCGTGTGACGTCAGTTCCCCACAGCTGAGTTCAGTGTGACCATAGTTTTTCAGCTGATCTCAGTGGAGACACTGACAACTAAAAAACTACAGAATGCCATCGTGTTCAGAAAGGAAGTCAAATAAGGAAATAATGGGGCGCAGGGGCGCCTGAGCATAACCTGCCTTATAACCACAAGGACTGCACGTTGATAAAATAAGGGGCAGATTAGATATTCTCAGAGGACAGTTCCCATTCCAAAGTCCTCCCATTTTTTAAAATTTGATGAAGGAACTGGGAATACAGGAGAAAGAGGCAGCAATGGTATTAGCACGCTGTCAAGTCTTTCGTTTTTCCACTTATCCTGAGTAGAATCTTATCTGTGGAAGTAGGGCCGGATTACTTGGAAAAGTGCATGTCTTTAAAGACACTTTAAAAGTGATTCACTATCTCAGCTTAAATTTAAAATTATGTTTCCACATAATAGAACATAATACAGCTATTTAAAAATACTGTTTACAAAAGGTTTACCATAACATTTAATATACATGTCTTCTTTCATTAACTGAAGAAAATAAAAAGGATACAAAACTGGATAGAGTCTGACCTCAGCTATGTGGGGGGGAAAAAGACTAAGCTGCTAACAACAGTTGCCTCCAACAGAATTGGAGGATTTTTTTCTTTGCCTTCCCCTCATCCCTGCTTCTTTGCAACTTTTTCTACAAGCATATATCACTTTTATAATTAAAAAATACCAAATAATAACTTGATATTTAATATTGTACCACTAAATGATATGAAAACTGCCCTTGACCGGAATCAAACCCGGGACCTTTCAGTCCGCAGACCGACGCTCTACCGCTGAGCCAAACCGGTTTCAGCAGAAATTTTTGACTTAATTTATGCCCACTAAATTTCCTTGTAAGCATAAAAGATAACAAGGCAGCAAACAAGAAATAATAATAGCTAACATTTCTGAGCTCTTACTGTATGCCAGGCATTAGAACTAGTGTCTGCATGGGTTAACTCATCTAATCCTCATGAGTAAATCCTATCCTATACCAACTTCAGAAATGAGAAAACCTGGGGCTCAGAGAAGTGAGGTAACTCACTCGAGGTGATTTGGACCCAAGCTGTCTGCCCCCAACCAAACTATGTTGGTA